TTTTTTTTAGTGTGGCTGTAGTTTTGAATAACATGTGTGCAGCCTACATTTTCTTTCAGATGACTGTCTATTAACTATACAGTTTTCTACATTCTTGATAAGATTGTTTTTAGACAATAGTTTATGCTGGAGTTATATGCAGTGAACACAGTTTTGAATTAAAACATTTCACAATTATGATAATACCCAGTTGTGAGCAAGTAGTCCCAAAACATAAAATGACATTTGTAATTATTACACAGCTCTATGGCACTGATGACTTTGAGATGAGGAAGTCTTTCCAGAACAATATGAAGGTAGAGCAGTGTAACACTAACATAGACAGTAACAAACTCTGGTCATAGATGCAGCACACTACCAATATCTGTATAGCACTAGTCTGTAGAATAGATTCACTGGCATGTATTTTATCTTATTTTATGCTCCAATACTTATCATACTGACTCAGGGTTATGAAATGTTAGCAGATTTGGGGGTATACAGGGATTAAGCTAGAATACTAAAAGTTGGGAATTTTATATCCAAAATCTGGAAGGAAATTTTTTTAGCATTTGACTCATGTAGGAAGGATGACCCCCTCTACCCTTAACCTGTTTGATTTTGTCCATGAATTTTATAGTTGAATGTTCTACACCTATTACTTTTATAAGATAAAAGGGTTGACTGTAGTTATAGAAATGTTATCAAATGTTATTCTAATAGTAGATTTTGCAAAAATAGATTTTTTTAATCATGAATTTAGTAAGCAAATATTTCATTCCAGAAAATCCAATATTCAATTCCCCCAAAAAATGTTCTTAAAAATCTATATGTATTTTATCTGAATTATTCATGGTCCAAACATTTTTGTCATTTAAATGCTTGGTAATTTCTCTGTTTTCATTTGAATAAAGCTACAAATCACTATATACATAAAGCACAAGTTGAATATCATACAGATGCAAGTATATGTGAAAAGTTGTATGATATGTGACTTGATTAAAGTACTGACATTGTCTGGCATGTGAAGGTTGGACTATATTGAATACTTTAACAAGTTCATATACCTAAAAGGCTTAATGGGACTCATTTAATGTACTGAAATAAAGCTAGTTTTGTGATTAATAATTGCCCTATGACTGAAATATGTCATGTTTACCAATGTAATGTTAAAACTTTATTAGTTTGCTCTAATAATGCGTTCCTTATGGTGTAAATATGAATGATAGTAGTTTGCCTTAAATAAGTTATAGATGAAAATATATACATGGTATATTGATGTATTAACATTTTAAGTTCTCATAGTCCTTTTTTACACCCATACTAACAGCATATGGAAGTCATAAACAACCTTTCCTCAGTAAAAGTAGTTCTTTTCATTTTCAGAATGATTTCACTTTTCATGGAATCTACCTGTATGAATAAAATGGTTCTTAGCATTGTGTCAGCATTTCTTTTGTACATACAAGCCATCATTAATTGTACTCTGTAGTTAAATGGATTAAGAAATGTGTATTTCTTAGATATACTAGAGATGGAGGTTGAGGATATTTACTGAACCAGACGTAAACATTGATGAAAGTCATAATTCCTGCAATAGAAGAGTTGAGAAGGCTCCTCAGATTCTTTGTCAAGTGTCGTGTACGTGACTCAATTTTAAATTTCCTCAGGAATTTTTTGTTGTGACCTTTCTCAATAGATAAATGTGTTCTTATTGTTTACCATTTGAACATATTTCAGGTGATATTTGGCAAGTCCAGCTGTCCAGAATTCTCTAGAGAAGCTTACACCAGTGTGACCTACCATAACAAGTAAGACCTTTCTTTTCTTACCACAACTAGAGTGTCCTTGTAGCTTAATGGTTGCCATGATGTTTAAAATTCAGGTAAAATTACCAGTGACGTAATGTATATGTAACACATCATGTTGCGTTGAATAATTATGTTCGAAGGACTCCCTGTTTAACTTATTTTTAAAACTTCTATTTAGTCCAATGTAGGTAGAGCTTGTACAAAAGAGGTATTTTACATCCTGTCTTTCAGGTCCCCTGACTTCTATGATGAGATCAAGGTGAAGTTACCAGCCAGGCTGGGGGACCCACACCACCTGTTCTTCACCTTCTACCACATCAGCTGCCAGAAGAAAGATGTCCCACAACAGCTGGAGACACCTATTGGATATAGTGTAAGAAATGGAGTTAAAAGTATTTTTAAGGCATTTGACATCATTTGTGACCGGCTTCTTTTTTGATCATTTACTTTATAAAATATTGTCATCTTTGTCACCTTTTGTAAAAAACTGTTTTCTTTTATTGCTAACTTTCTTTTTGATCAAATGATTATGATGATATTAAAATGTATAAATGATTGTTGTATTATGAGTTAGAATTTTTCATTTTTTATACTTTTAGTGGCTGCCAATCCTGCAAGATGGGCACTTGGTAGTAGGGGACTTTAATCTGCCAGTGTCTCTTGAGAAACCACCACCCAACTATTCTGTTCTGCATCCTGATGTAAGTGCCCTATATCTATATATCTTGAGTGTACAATTTGATAAGACATTGCCTTTAGGTAAGCATGCATTTTGTACTTGGTACTAGTTGCTTGTCCTTATGGTTTTAATGCGGCATCTTTTTTTTTTATTATGGTAAACGATATGTATACTTTCTCTGTGTTCTTTCTTTTTTGTTAATTTACATTAAATAAAAAGTAAGCTTGCAATAGAATGTATTGTAGTTCTCTGTGTATACAGGTTAGGCCTTAGTGCACATTATGTTAGTAACTGTAGTCTGTGTTGTTTGGTTTCTTACTAACTAGGTTCACATAGATAGTAGCTGGAGGACCAAGCTGTCTGCATTGTTCTCCGATGAGTCTTATGAGGTTAAGACACAATTGCTTGTAATCATAATATCACATTGCATTCCCAGTCTATGATATCAAAGACACCTGCTTCATGATGGGTCACAGGGTTTTATACACCCATACCCCTGCTGATGACCATATTTGTATATGGTAACATGGGTCAGACTTCATCTATTTGATCTAAGATTTCAAAATGTAAGCCTAACTTTTCGCTGATAAAACTAGGGTAACCATTCCTTCTTGATTGTGCAGTTTTTGAAAATAGCATTTGAATAAGAATTGAATTTGATTATCTTAACATCAGAAGGATTTTTTGTTCTTATAAGATTTTTTGTTTTCACATTTGGAAAAATTACTTTTTACTCCCATAAAATCTGATGTGACTAAATGATATCCACCCTTATATATGCATCTTTCTGCACTGACTTGCTGCGCAGTTTTCCATTTTTCCTCTGCTCAAGCAGCACAGCTGAAAGGGGGAAGGGTAGTTATCACACTCATTGACAGATGTAGCTTCTTTAGGAATTTCAAGTCCTCACTGACATTTTTCTGCTAGAATTGCTTTTAAATATAAAAATCTTTGCTTTCTGCACATTTATTGCATTTCATGAGTTCCATTTTTCCATATTTTATATTTTAAGTAGGATTGGAAACCCCTACTTTTCAAGATTTTTTCAGATTTCTTATTTATGCTTTTTCTCATTGTAGTTTTTCACCGCAATGCTTTTTGTATCAGACAAAATCATCTTGAATACTAACAATATTTATTGCACAGCTGATTACTGACTGTTTGTTTTCAGTATTTTTATTCCTTAAAATTAAATTGATTACATTGAAACACATTATAACTATGAATCATAATATATTGTCTTTTTGAATAGACTCTAGTCCTGTAACTCTCCATTATGATGAGAATTTAAGTGGTGAGATGAAAATTTTTAATTGATTCCATAGGCTAATAGAGGCTGGTACATTTTATTCCTCAGGTGATGCTACCAGGGATGAAGTGGATAGACAACCACAAGCCTATCTTCAGTGTCTCCATCAGTGCTGTCTCCAGCATTCATACTCAGGTAATAACCCAATATCATTATAGGATATTAAGAATATAATGTTGTGTTCCAAACTTTTAAACAGTTGCAATGTATTTTTGAAGGATTGAGTTTGCACTCTGCTTGTGCTGTTGAGGTAAAATGCAAACTAGTGTTGTCTTAGTCACAACCAACTTGTTGAGAAGTGAGAGTAATAAAGCTTGGATCAGTTAAACCTTACTGCAAGTATGAATAGAAAATAGAGAATAGGCTAATTTATTGAATTAGTTGAGTTTCCCACTCTGCAACAAATCATATTTTTCTCTATGCTTTGTGTACTTTGACATCTTCCAATATGCTGCTGTTTTATTTCACACCTTGAATTGTTGCTTCATCCAGGACAGAAATATTGATCGCTTCTTGAGCATGTGCCAGAAAGTTTCTAAGTATAGTCACACTGGCCAGAGTGCAGCTGACCATCACTCTCAGACTGTAGGTTATGTTTGGTGCAGGGGCCTTATTGCTTTTAAGTTGGAAAGGGAAGAAAGTGACAGTGACCAGTGAACCAAAGATTGAAAAAAGCATAATAAAATGATTTATCAATCCATATTTTAAGTATGTTACATGTAAAGATTTTATACCTCATCCAAGATTAAACGAAGTTAGTTTTATGTAGAAGAAAAACAAAAAAACAATGTTGTTGGACAAAAACACATCCCTGTGGTTCATTTTACTCTGACACATTTTTCCAAATCCAGATGTCTTTCCTCATTTTCAGTGGCGCTTTGCAGATTTTGTTTCATACTGATGTGCATTATTTTGTACCCCTATTTATCATTGGATATTTACCAAGATGGAGGTGGCTTCTATATTATTATGATTATTATTATTTTGCAATGAAAACATGGAATTGTATTTATTTCCCTACCCTTGTATTGTGCTTGTATTATGCATGTATTATTCTCCTGCTTGTACTGTATAGTGGACATAATGTCATGGTAGCTTCAGGTGGATGGACACATAAGGTGGTGTGTAGATTATGGCAGTAAAGACAAAAGACACATTCACAATTAGACTTACTAAGGCTACAAAAACCATAAGACCAGATTACATTGGGACCAAATTATAAGTCCCATTTAAAGCAGTCGGTTTTGTTGGTGATTTCCAGTGAAAATGTTCTGCTCTGTGTTAGTCAAGTTGTGAACAGGGGCATATTTTTCCCATATTGCTAAAACATACACTTTCCATACTTGATTTTTTCTACACAAATTATTCTTTTTGATATAATTTCAAGGAAGACCATTCTGAGCACCGTTCAGGAACATTCTTGTGTTTAAAGTTATGTATTTTGGTTTGCAAAATATATATTGACATGTGTACAGATTTGTGAATTTATACAAATATGTATTTGTAAATGTATAATTTGTAAGTTATGACATATACACGGTTATCATTCATTCATGCCTATGACAAAATTGGTAGAGGTCAGATTATGCTTTGAAAAAAAAAAACATTGGATTGGATTGGATTTTTTTTCCAGGACGAGTTTCTAGACCGCTTTCTAACTCTGTCCCATTGTGCGGAGCAACACAACATTCCGCGGGGCATTGGTCTGGAGAACTTTGAGGGAGAGCTGAAGAAGAGTGTGGCAGACGTGTCCAGGGCTATGGGAGAACCTTTGGTCAGATTCCTGCCACTGATCATGGACAAATTGGTGCTACTGATGGTCAGACCACCTGTGATTGGGGGACAAGTTGGTGAGATTTTTGGCTCTTTGAGCAATATTTGAAAAATTGTGATAGAATTGTATTTGAAGAATTGGAATGTGATGTGTTGGACATTTGGAGGCTGATTTATTCATTTGTAACTATTTCTAAAATTTCTTAAAGAAAAAGTTCAATTATACTGATATTGTCTTATTGGAAATTTTAAGTAGCTTAGTAATAGGTTCTAAACTGTATGGCTTCTAATTCTAGTTTATTTTTAAGTGACTGTCATTTATTTCACCATGTTTTCTCTCTTCTTGCAGTGAACATTGGACAGACCTCCTTCGAGTCAATAGCACAACTAGTGAAGACACTGCAGAGTTTACTGGAGGATAAAAATGACCTCCATGGCAGAAACAGCCTCCTTGTGCAATACATCCAGTTTTCATGTACACTGCCACACCCAGATCTCAGTGCAATAGGTAAGGAGAGATTCAGAGAAATTTCAGACCAGAAATGGTCATCCAGAGCAGTATTTCATTACATATTTAGTCCAGTGTGCAAATCAGTGTTATTAACTTTAGGCATGATCACATCAGGACTAATTTAGACCTAAAGTAGTCTAGTTGATGTCACCAGACAATTCGATTTTTTGTTTTACATGGGATTTTGAAATCTAATCTGATCGATTTGTGTTTTTTTAGTCTTTTTTTCTCTGAAGTAGTTTTTGACTCTCATCAGACTCATCACCAGTGCAGTAATGTAGTTTTGATTTCTTTAGTGCAATGTAGAGTATGAACAGGCTTTACAAATAAAAGATTTTGATTTTTTTACTAACAAGTATTTTGAAACAGTCAATCAAGTTGAAGTTCATATAAAAAAGCACAATGGATATGTACACAATTTTGACAAGAAAATGAATTGCAGTGACTGTGCCCTAATCTCTGCTACTAACTTTGCTTCAGCTTCCACACCTAACATGAGCAACTATGCCACTCTGGGTCGCCCCACCTCTCTCCCTGTTGGGAAACAAAATATCCCAAGAAGCAGCAGTGACCCTGACCTTGCTGTGACCCCTACCACCCCTGACTCTGAGGTGGAGAGAATGTTGGGAATACCATGTATGTATTGAAGATTGTTGTTATAGTAACTTTTAGTGAGCAGTTAAGATTTAAAATAAAAAGGAAGTAACATGAGTTAATTGCATGAAAATGGCGAAAAGTTGATAAGCATGGATGCTTTGTTTAAGTTTTTTAGGGTTTTAGCTAAAATATTTTAGAAGTTAGGACATGAAAATGGGTTGTCTTTGGTGTTGTGATTAGAAAGTTAAAGACAGCATATTTATTAATAATCTTTTGCCTTTGGGTTGTGGTTTACTAGTAAAAGACAACATATTAATTTCTTACAGCTGCTAAGATAGACAGGAGTGGCAGCCTCAGACATCCAGATCAGCCACCTAGATATGGCAGGCTCCATAGTAAGAAGGTAGGGCTTTAATATTTAAGGTCTATCATGCTGTGCCAGATAAATGAACTTCCCTTGGACATTTTTATCTTTGTCGGGTAATTTCACAAATGAATGGTTCTATCACAGGTGTCAACCAACAAATAGATATCAATAATCAGGATGAAATTCTGCTGCCTCTGACTGCTTTCCTTGTTTTTTATATGTGAAAGGGGGTAAAGAAAGTTGCCCTGTTTTGAATGTGTTTAAAAATGGGACAAATTCAAATAGGGGTGGGAGAAGGGGGGGGGGGTCACCTTTTTAGCTTTCCTTTGCCCCATCCCTGTAGTCTAACACTTAAAAATATCAGTTGTAAATGATATTTGTACATATTTGTTTACCTGTCATTTATTGTTCCAGTATGTCCATGAAGAGATAGCCCTCCAGTGGGTGGTCTCCAGTGGGTCCACCAAGGACATTGCACTGGCTAATGCCTGGTTCTTCTTTGAGCTCATGGTAGGTGAATGTGCAGAAATCTTTTAGGATTTGCTTTGGTAACTTTTGAATAATTGGGAAATTACTGTAAATTACTTTCAGTGTTGCTGACACTAAATTCATGCTGTAGCTAAGTCTCTTTAACTCAGCTGAGAAACCAGATGGTATCTTTGGTCCCTGGAAACACCTTTGTTAAAGAATATGATGTTAATGATAACTTTCTGTTTGCACTATGACTTCAGGTAAAAAGCATGGCTGAACATCTGGCCAGGGCAGACAAGATGGATACCCCAAGGAAGGCCAGGTTCCCTAAACAGTATATTGATGATGTCACAGCACTGGTCACTATGATCACCAAGGAGATAGTAGACAGATATTCTACACTCAAGGTAATTTATTGTATAAAGAATGTGTTTCAGTCTGAAATTGCTGACCTGTTACTTTCACTGTCAAGACTGAAATGGGCCTTTGTTTGAATTATGTTCTTTTCTCAAAACCTAGAATTTTTGAATACATACATAAAAAATGTCGGTCTCTCAAGGTTATTTTTATTTTTTCAAACTCACCTATTTGAAAATGTTTCCTCTGAAGCTCAGTATTATAAGTATCATGTGGTCATAAGGGTGAAATACAAAACATGTTACCAGTGTATGTCATTGCTTTTACAAATATGAAGATGGAATTAACATAACTTGTATCATATAAGTTTGAAAATAATTCCACTGATTTAATTTGATACACTACATACTAAGTCATTTACTCCTTAAATTATGTCTACTGATTTGTCCTAAATTTAAAGTCAATATCTTATTTTGATAAGTCTGGCATTGATATTCTCTTTATTTCTCCAGGATGCCCGTGGCCTGAACACAAGCCTGGCTTTCTTCTTATATGACTTGCTGTCACTGATGGACAGGGGGTTCATCTTCAATCTTATTAAGCTCTATTGCAAAACTGTGAGTATTTAATGAAAATAGATGTTTTCGTGAAATATTTAAGGCTTTGTAAATTATTCCTCTAGAAATATCAGAGGTCTTCTTCGAGGAGAAGTGGTTGTAAAAAAGCTTAAATGTTCTTCAGTTCAGTTTAATAGCAATGAGACATTTGGTTCAATTTAATAGCAGTAAAAGGAAGAAGAAAATAAGTATTGTAGTCTCTTTATTGTTTTTCTCGATATATAGATCATACGTTGAAATTGTTTTAATATTTGTCCCTCCAGATGGCTATAAAGATCTCCTCCCAGGCCAGTTCCACGGATCTGACCATGCTGAAACTAGACTTCCTGAGGATCATCTGTAGCCATGAGCACTACGTCACTCTGAACCTCCCCTTTGGTAGCACCCTGACCCCCTCTGGTCCCCCCAGCCCCACCCCCAGTGTGGCCAGCTCCACCTCTCAGACCTCCTACACCTCTACCAACACTCTGATGGAGAGACCAGGCCTGGGTGACCTGTCTATAGATTTCAGGCAGCAACATTTCCTGGTGGGGCTGGTGCTGTCTGATCTTACTATTGGATTGGAGTCCGGGTAAGTATAAGTACACAGTGTGGTGCTGACAGGGTGTCTGCACAGTTTTAGGTTACTGTAAGTTTGAAGTATATCGGTTATTGTATTATATTAAATCACATGAAATAGCAGAGAATTAGTGGATTGTTTTTTGATGTGTAACTTAAAAACATTTGAACTATTTTGATGAAAAGTACTTTCACTCTTGTTACACATTTCTAATTTCACATTTTCACATGTATTTTATTACTCTCCTCACAGCAACCCTCATGTACAAAACAGAGCCATCAATCTGGTCAGAAATCTGCTCTTCCACCATGACCTTGACCCTCGCTACAGTGACCCTGATGTCAAGGCCAGAGTGGCCTCCCTCTACTTGCCTCTCCTGACCATTGTCATGGACAGCCTGGGACAACTGTATGAACCCAACTGTTCAGATAAAGTGGACAGGGACAGTGATATAGTGGAGGAGGACATGGCCAGTCCTGGCATCAACCAGTCTATTGCTAATGCTATTGCCACTTCTAGTGTGATGGGAACTAGATCAGAGGATATCACTTTTGATTCTTATGACACCCTGACCAGAGTGAGTGACTTTTTTNTACTTACATTGGTATTACCTGTTGAGCATAATTAAAATTTGATGTTAAATTTGCAGTTTAACATAATGTACTTTTGCATCAGAATTGACATTAGCCTATTTTGTGCATAGTTATTTCCTGCTTTTTGTCTGTACATTTGACAGCTTTGCTGCCTTGTTTTTTGTTCTTATTCATTTCATAAGTTTATCATTTTTATATTGATTTTTTGATAAAAAAGATAAGGATACCATAAGTAGAAGCAATTTACTCGAGTAAATTGATCCTTAAAAATCAAGTAGTGATATCCAGTCCCTCAAATTGGATGGCAGAAAGTGAGTGGTGGAATATGTTTAAAAATATTTTTTAAATTTTTATTTCTGTTACAGCAAAGCAAAAAGTCTCAGCTGAGCCCAGAGTCTACCAAGAACATTTTAGCCTGCTTCTTGTGGGTGTTGAAGAACAATGACAAACGCACACTAAAGCAGTGGTGGGCTGAGGTGCCAATGACACGACTGAGTCAGCTACTGGAACTTTTGTATTACTGCGTGTCAAACTTTGAGTACAAGGTAATGGTAGTACAGATCTTTTTTATTTTTATTTTATTATAACATTTTTCTTGTGTGAGGGGGGGCATCTGGTAATGTGCCTGTAAAAGTGATCAAGAAGGTTTCAGAGAGCTCAATGATGTAATGAATATACCTGTGCATAAAATTTGATGCACTGGCTTTGGTAATTGTTTTATTTATGACTATAGGGGTTTTTGTGTGTAACTCTATACATCACACATTATTGTGGTGCATATTTATATCAGGGCAGAGAAGCAATGAGTGCTATCAGTCAGCAGATTAAGAGGAAAAGTACTGACATGAAGTCCAAGTTAGAAGAAGCCATCTTGGGCATGGGAAGTGCGCGAAGTGAGATGATGATGAGAAGACGCCAGCAGGCAGCAGGGTCACAATTGTATCCAGGTATAGCAGCTAGTAGGAAGTCCAGTTTCTCTTAACAATCAAACCAAAAATATTTCTGTCATATCATATCATATTGACCCCAGCTGACCATCAATTGAACTTAGGTATAACATAGACCAGACTCTAGGGCTCCATGAGATGGGCAAGCTCAGTAACCAAAACATTTTTTTTCTGACTTGAATTTTTCAAAGGTCTACAAATGAAAAATAGTTACAGTATATGATGCAAAATCATCAGGAAAGAATGTTTTATTTCTGGTATCACCTGTATTTCCATATCTACTTCAGAACCTACCCTAGCAGCCTCTCCTCAGACAGAGATGGCAAGGCTCAGGTGGAGGAAGGATCTGACACAGTGGAGGCAGGCAGGAGAGAACTATGAGAGGTGAGTCTGCTTCATGAACTGACATGGTTAGAATATGTATTTATGTAAAAATGTCAACAGTTGTGTCCTTGATTTAAGTTGAAAACTGAATTTTTTTTTTCTTTTTCAGACCCAGGATTGATGTTGAAACCAACTGTTATTTAGACAGCAATTTAGCAACAGAGTGCAGCCTTATTACTCTGGACACACTGGAACTTATTGTACAGGTACACACAATCACAATACATAGTTATTAATTATATTAGTACCATGAGAATTTAGCATACTTGTTTGGGATTACAATGGAATAAGCTGTTACTTTACGGGAACATAAATATCCGGTATACGACTTTCCTGTTTTAGTAATTGCAGGAAGCACTATATACTGAATTTTAGTAACTGTTACCACTGTAACATGGTGACATAAGTGTAATGATATATGATGTGTGTTCCAGATAGTGCAGCAGTCAGACATGTTGCAGAGTTTACTAGGCACAGTACTGAGGGTGCTGTTACACAGCTTAGGACTAAACCAGAGCACACTGGCTCTGCAGAACATGTTTGTCACTCAGAGGTCTCTTGTTTCTAAGGTAAGTGGTCTTATTTATTAGCTGCAATAGCGCGCGTGCGCGCGCGCGCGCGCACACACACACACACACACACACATATTTCTACCCTTTTCATTACATGATTAGTATATAAAATGAAATTGATAAGAAATACCATAAACCATAAAGCATATTTTTCTCAATCTTGTTGACTTCTTACATTTAAATAAGAGACATCACTGTCACAGTGTTTATTTAGAAGTCTCATTATAAATATTATATTTTAATTTTCAGTTCCCAGAGCTGCTGTTTGAGGAGGACACAGAGCAGTGTGCAGATCTGTGTTTGAGGCTGTTACGACACTGTAGCTCATGTATTGGCTCCATCAGATCACAGGCCAGCGCCTCACTATATCTTCTCATGAGGCAGAACTTTGAGATAGGGAATGTAAGTAAATTAAGTTGTAATGTTCATTTTTTACATCACTCTTCCTTTAACTCCAGTACTACATTTTTGGATAAATATTTTTTAGATGACTCCATTGTTTGATAAAATTTTCAAGACTGATAGAAAATCATGCTATCCACAATTCAGAAATTTTGAAACAAGTACCAGGATGCTGTTTTATTGTTTTTCAGAATTTCTCCCGCGTGAAGATGCAAGTGACCATGTCCTTGAGCTCACTGGTGGGGCAAAACCAGAGTTTTAATGAGAACCACCTCAGAAGATCACTGAAGACAATTCTCACCTATGCTGAGTCTGATATTGAACTTCAAGATACTACCTTCCCAGAGCAGGTGGGTCAGAACATAACTTTTAGAATTTTAAAAATTAGGCTAAAATTTAAATATACGTCAATCCTTTAGAATACTGTGGGTTAGTTGTTAGTAGAGAAATGACAGCATTGTAAACGTATTTTTCATTTGTTTCTGTTTTAAATTGAGATGTTACATGAACCAATAGAGAATATACTGGTATATGTCACAGTACTGAGAAATGGTGATTATTGTAGCCTGGGATTTGGGATTATAGGTGAGAGATCTGGTGTTCAATCTCCACATGATCCTGTCAGACACAGTGAAGATGAAGGAGTTCCAGGAGGACCCAGAGATGTTGTTAGATCTCATGTACAGGATAGCTAAGGGGTACCAGAACTCTCCTGACCTACGCCTCACCTGGCTACAGAATATGGCTGGCAAACATAGCGAGGTATTTGGCCTTGTAAAAAAAGATAAATGTGATAATTATATCTTTGTATTAAATTGTGGCAGTCAGCTTGGTATTTTCTTTAGGGAACTTTTTTTATGTCAATGTAAGCATTCTTGGCCAAAATGGTTTCTTAAGAAGCACATATTGCGCCTTGTCAAAAATAAGTGAATTCGATATATATATAGAAACAGAGTCCGTGTAAATTATTATTGTTTTCAGAGAGGAAATCATGCTGAAGCAGCCCTGTGTCTGGTACACTCAGCAGCCCTGGTGGCAGAGTACCTGAATATGCTGGAAGACAGGACATATCTCCCTATAGGCTGTGTTTCTTTTCAAGTAAGATCAAGATATATCTGAAAGTGGACTCCAGATGCAAATCTATAAAGGGTTTATTTTCTAAAATGACACTTATTAAAGTTAATTTCAGTGTGATAATAGTAAAACAAATTTGATGAAAATTTATTGCATTTGCACTGGTATTGCACCAATAAGAATGTATGGGGATATTTAACTTGTTATGTTTATTTTACAGCATATCTCTTCCAATGTGCTTGAAGAGAGTGCAGTGTCAGATGATGTGGTCTCCCCAGATGAGGAAGGCATCTGTTCTGGGAAATATTTCTCAGAGTCTGGACTGGTGGGCCTGCTGGAACAGGCAGCCAGCTCCTTCAGTATGGTGAGAAGGCACTCTTTAATGAAACATTTTGCTTGTAATTAAAATAAACAATATGGAAGCTCATATTCTATAAATTTGATCTATTGAGGCACTGAAATTAAAATTATTTAGAATTTGTGAAATAGAATTGACCTTATGAATGAGTACACTTGCCATGTTATGAGCAGTGATGTATGGATCAGTGGGAAAGTAAGACGTGAGGTAGCAGCATTCTTATATACCTCTACATTTTCAGGGTGGTCTTTATGAGGCTGTAAATCTGGTGTACAGAGTTTTGATCCCCATCCATGAAGCCAATAGGGATTTCAAGAAGTTAGCTGTCATACACAACAAACTTTACCAGTCTTTTGATCAGGTTATCAAGCAGGTAAATATCCCAATTCTCACTGTAGATATGTAGCAGATTAAAAGATCAAATTTTCTGGTACAATTTACCATATAATTTACAGCAGCTTATAAAACAGCTTATGGTCTTCTGATAGACATCATGCAATCTCCAATTTTAGCTCTAAAAAAGTTAATATATTTTAATACATAACTATTTCTAATAACAAGAAATGAAATGGTAAATAAGCACAAAGTATAAATATTAACTGGCAGCTTTAATTTCAGGAGGGGAAGCGTATCTTTGGCACTTACTTTAGAGTTGGTTTCTATGGCAGCAAGTTTGGAGATCTGGATGAGAATGAGTTTGTGTACAAGGAGCAGTCTATCACAAAGCTTCATGAGATATCTCACAGGCTAGAGGTAACAGGAGCAATATTTCTCAAAACTGTGGAGTATTAGAATATAAATCAGTTTTGATTTGCTAAAGTCAAGGTCATGTTGGTCAGTTAACTAACTCAAGCCATATATTGATAATATATTACCTGCAAAGAAAATTACATGAAATATTGTTTTTTCTTTTCTCAGAACTTCTACATTGAGCGCTTTGGTGAAGAGTTTGTTTCAACTATCAAAGATTCTAACATAGTGGACAAGGACAAACTAGATCCACAGAAGGTAAAACTATTTTACACAACTGTTCAGGGGCAATACCTACAAGGTCCCATTTATATTTTACACTTTATACATATGTAAATTTATTTATCATATGTTCAATTGGTGACATACTTGAATTTGTTTACTTACTGTCAGCTATGTCTAGTCTGTTCCTTTGCCATTACGATGTACTCCATTTTAATTTGGTACGGATATTTCATTGTTAGGCACAGTTTCATGAGAAAAAATCCATTTTATAATAAAATAATGAATGAAATTTCCTTGTCAGGCCTATATCCAGATCACTTATGTGGAGCCTTATTTTGACTCTTATGAGTTCAAAGACAGGATAACATACTTTGACAAGAACTACAATCTCAGTAAGTGTTGCTCGAAAATAATCTTAAATTAATAGTTTTTGTCAATATTGTTTTCAGATGAAAATGTAATATCTTAATATTTTATTGACATTTTTTAGGTGTTATTTGTATTTGAAAGAGATTAATAAAAGTTTCATAACAAACTTTGTGATTATTTCAGAGCGTTTCATGTATGCCACACCATTCACTGTGGATGGGCGAGCACATGGAGAGCTCCATGAACAGTACAAGAGGAAGACCATCCTTACCACAGCTCATGCCTTCCCCTATGTCAAGACTAGGGTGGCTGTAGTAGCCAGAGAACAGGTTAGTTCAGCTCACCTAGTTAAAAACCCTTTAACTGCTGCAATATGGTTGAAGATGTTATTTTTATGTAACTTTTCCTAGTGCATATTAAGTAAATGGCTGGAAAAGGAAACGGAGTAGGTTAGGACAGCAGGGGTGGGGAGTCATTTTTAATTCATCCATAATCAGCAAACAAATTGTAATTGTTTACCCTATGGGAAATTCATTACACTTCAGGTGATCCTATCCCCCATTGAGGTAGCATGTGAGGACATCCAGAAGAAGACTAAAGAGCTAGCTATTGCTATGGCCCAGGAGCCTCCTGATCCCAAGATGTTACAGATGATGCTGCAAGGCTGTATTGGGACCACAGTCAACCAGGTAGGGGGAGAAAGTTGGGGGGGGGGATGCCACATTGAATTCACTTTAATGATAACTCTCCTGACCCAAATATAAAGTTTAACAGATTTTACTTTAAGTATGTCATGCAGCTGTTATGCATTAAAGTCATAATAACTCTTCGTTTTGGCCAAAAATTGGATTTTCCTGGAGTAAACGGCAATTTTCCCATACTCACCAATGGTCAGCGACCCCATTCCTGTATTCAAAGTTAATCCAGGGTTTTTTTCCTAAACGTACGGTTTTTTGTTAAAATCTCTTAAGAGATTTTAATTGACGGAGCCCTCTCATATCGAGCAATAGTTTATGGTGACCTACTTAAAACCGCGGGAAAAGCAGACAACAACAACACTATATAACAATATTATAAGATTCATAAGATATGTTCGTCTTTTTGCTCAAAATGCATTTATATCTACAATGTGTGCAATTCTGGGCTTTTCGTTATCCGACGCACTGTACAAAGACTCGCAACTTACGTCTGAGGGTTTCCCGCCATGTTATTTTGGTCTCGAATGAACGCAAGAATCCGCGTGACACCTAAACGTCATTGGCAACGGATGCACTTGTCGACCGTGAAAAAAGGGATCGAAAGCCCAAGTGACAAGCACAGATTTTAGTTTTACTACAATAACAGTCGTTTTAGTGGGAAAATGCAATAGAATATATTTCCAGGCGTTGTTTACAATGTATTTCTTGCGGAATTTTGAATCTCAAAGGAAGAGTTATTATTGCTTTAAGTAAATATGGTGTTTGGAGTTTTGAAATTTACAGAATAAAAATGTGAAAAAATTATTCCCATTTCAGGGTCCAGTGGAGGTTGCCCAGGTGTTCCTGGCTGGAGTCATGGAGGGCAAGGTGCCTGCCACACGTCACCACAACAGACTCAGGCTCAGCTTTAAGGATTTCTTGAAAAAGTAATCAGCATGCTTGGGTTACACAAAGAAACATTTTGACAAAATTGTTCATGGTAGAGGCAATTTTAGTAAAAAAAAATGTGTGCTTGTAGTGTTTTATTTTAGTGGAAGATTTGATATGTTGTCCTCACTTTGTAAAAGTTGCATTGTATATATTTTATACTCTTATATATGACAGTAAAGCCAAAGGTATTAAGTTCAGCTTGTATCGCCATAGATTACATAGTCTTTTGCCTTGATATCCAGATGCCATGATGCTCTACACAAAAACAAGAATCTCATCAGTTCAGACCAGAAAGAGTACCAGCGGGAAATGGAGCGCAACCTCCACAATGTTCGCGACAGACTCAATCCTTTCATCTCACAAGCACATGCAAGCACAGTGAAGAAGAAAAGCTCACACAGAAGCCGAGAAAAAGACAGGTCTCGTGAAGAGTAAGTACTTCCTTAGCTTCAAGATTCATTAAACCTTGTTGTCAGAGATGTTTATAAGGAAGCTCCTTTATTTCAATTTGCTCTAAACTGTACAAATGTTTTCTGTTATTTTTAAATGATATTCTCCTGTTATGTGTTTGTTAAGGCGTTCCCTCACACAAGTAAACCAGCCCAGTTTTACTCCGCCTCCTATGGTGAGGTCTGTGAGCATGCCCAGTTATCCCAGACTGTCGCGCTCTTCCAGCACTGGCCGAATCACGCTGGGAAGGTAGTGCCACTGTGTGCCGAGTAACTATTGCACTGATTGTGACTTTTTTATAACTTTATTTTTCATTTCAGAATTTTGTAGATAATTCTCTTACTGTGTAGTGCCACTGAGTGTTGAGTGGGAGAACTGGGTGCATTTACTCTAATATCTAGGACTATTTTATTTCCAGAGAAAATACTTAGATTTCTCTTTTCACTTAGATATAATCAGGGTGTTTTGCCACATAAAATAGATTTTTTTTCATCTGTTGTTTTAAACTTTTGCAGTGTAGAAGAGAGACCTCTGTAAGATTTATCTTGTTTTATTTCAACAGAATTGCTGTACATTGAGAACTTTTCTAAACCACAGGGGTAGTTTTGGTGACAGTTAAGTTTCAGCGTTGTTTAACTTGTTCCCATTATAGTGTCAGTAGTTGAGATATTTCTCACTAGCCATTCTAATGTATGCACTTTGGGTCAGTGTTGTTCATATTGGTGTTAGGAGAAACACCAGCCATGATGGCAACAAAGTAGTGAAGTATAAGATCTTCATTGTTTGCTTTTAGAAAGTTTCTCATTGTATAGTACCCACAACAACCTGTTGCTGTTGAATGTCTTCAGTGCAACAGATTTGTTGTCTTATTAAGTTAACAAGCTCTCTTTCAGAATAGACAAGTGTTGTAGATACTCTGCTTTTGTTGATCAATTTTTTTTTCTGCACCGCCTTCATATATGCACAGTTTAACTCCTTTTCTTCAGGCTAACATCATATGTGTAAAAAACAGGTAAAGAATGGTGCCGGAGTTTAGTTAAAGCTGTCAATTGTACTCATTTTTATGGGTTCGAAATCAAGATATGCAGTCAAAATTTCAAAAAAATACACATTTTTTAAAGTCTCTAAAGTCAAACACATGTAGTGCCATCACCATCTTTGATTGTGCTAGAACTTCTCTTCAAAATATGAACACTAGATTTTCACAAATATTTTCTCTAAGTCTTAGCCTCTAGAGTTGGCCAACATTTGGAGTTTTGGCTGCATGTTGTAGCTTAGTTGGTTGAATTGTCCCATGCCGCAAACATGGACATTAGAAAGTAATACTACTATGGGATGTCAGTGTATACAATAATATAGCATTGTATGTAGTGGGGAGGCCATTTAACAGTGGAGATATATGATTTTCAATGTATGTGGAGCTAGCTGTATAATTGTAATGCGTTCGTGAATTTTCAGTATAAACTTGCCAAAGGAAAGGCAGTGCTTTGTGTAAGCAGCATTACTAAAATGCTACAGTGTTTGGGAAAATGTACACACTGTATTTTCATCATTAAATATGATATATATATATATATGTTTATGTGTTTCAATAAGTAATCCTGCTAGCAAGTGCCATTAACACTGCACATGCATTTGCAATTGTCGGTGGATTTTGTTGGTTTTTGTTGTTTGTGGTGTCTTATGGTTTTAGTTTTAAATTAGTTCATTCTTTCACAAGTGAAACAAAGTTCATTCTGTTTATGTTATATGTAAACCGGAGTTTTTTTTTTTTTTTTTAATAAAATGTATTTTTTGAAAGCTTGTGCTGTATCATATCTGATGGTATAGCCTGCAATTACAATTATCATTGTTAAATCATATACCATTAAAGTTGATGAATAATCAAGAGAGAAATTCCATAAAAATATCTTTTTCAATGTGCAAAGTGTAATGTTTAGATAAGATAAAAGCCTCAAAAGGAAGAGATGCATCATTTTTTGTAATGAGCTAAAGCATGGATCTGATGTATCTTTCCAGCATCAAGGAAGGTCGCAGTGAAAGCAGCAGAAGAAAACCCAACAGCAACTCTGTTACACCTAACTAGACATTACTGTTGAATCATAGCTGTTGAAGGGACACATGGAAGCATTCCAGTATAAAAGTCACAGTGACACAAGGATGAAGTAATATTAAAATCTGAAGGTGCTCAAGGGGTCTATGGGGGTCATCTACCCAACAGAATAAGATAAAAACTTATGCTCTTTATTATCTCCAAGTGTTCAATCCCTAAGTGGCCTCCAGTTGAAGCATTAAAGATAGCAGCAAGGACATTGGTACTTAAACAAATGTGAACGTGTGTTTGCATTATTGCAGGGACTCTTGTGCTGTGCTAATGCCAAAAATATTAATGTTAAGAATATGAGATCTCTTGTTAAATCACTGAAAAGCATGCTACATACCATCACCCAGTACTACGGTGAAATATGTTTGTGGTCCTCTTGTATAAAAACATGGGTTTATCATTGTTTGGACATGAAACTATGCATATTTGATCATAAGGGGGTTCTGTGTCAAACTCATAATATCATTGATACCGGTTCGATTTCATTCATTATAGAAGTATAGAAGTTGGTAATTTTTCTCTCTGTACTTAATATAGTGTAAATCCTTATTCCTAGTATTATCCATTGGGAATATAGGATGAAACAAAATATTTATGTCTTATCATGAACCTCTTAAAACAGAGATATATGTATGTAAATATGTTGTAATAAAGATATATCTGCTCAAAAATGATGATAATTATGGTTAATACTACCATCTGTGAGATATATATGAGAAACATCTGTTAAAACTGTTTGTTAAAAACCCACAACATAACGCGCAACCTTTCACATACACACACATAATTTAAGAGTTAAAAGTATTTGGGGAAATTATTCCTTATCATGAAATAACATTGCAATTGGCATTTGAATTTTGTTTTGGGTTGTTACCAGATTTCCTCTATGGCCATTGATCTTTGTGGAAGATGAGTATAATGTTTTATGAAAATTAAACAAATAAGATTTTTATAAAGCTAGGAATTTTTCATTAACCATCACATGCAGTACACTTGCTGATGTCATGATAAAATTGCTCTTAGTACAGCAAGTTATCAACTTGTGCACACAGAAACGGTGCTTCTTTGTAAGGTTGAGGTGAAGTGGAATTCCTATATGCTGACGTTTTGTCAATTTTCTGGTTTTTTTTTTTTTTCCAGTTTATTTTCCCATTGCAAAAAATAAATAAATGATATATGAATAAAAATAATGGTTGACTTTTGATACATGTAGTTGAAGATTACGGACTAAACATATTTGATAAAAATATATATATAAGCATTAGAGCCTAAGGAGAAAATATGAAATTAAATTGTACAACTTTTTGAATAGTAAAATGCCATAATTAAACAATAATAATAGTTTCTTCTTCAGTGCATTTCATAAAAATTTGATGTGCTTTAAAGTGAACAACAAGAGAATACCAGTCTATGGATCCTAGTAAAGTGATTTCAAAATTGAATTTTACAATTCTGAAGTGTCTTGGTGTTCATCCTTGTTATCCGGCACTTCTTGAGGGACGGGAAGGTATCGTTCACCATGGAAGCGAGCAAATATATACAGGATAGTGAACAAAACTACATTACATAGCCCACCGCCTAATAACAGGTACGGAAAATACATCCCGCTGATTTGGAAGAGGTGACCGAACAGTGCGGGCAATGTAAGCGATCCTACTGCAGCCCCTATGCAAAGTACGGAGGTAGCTTTCCCGGTAATGTGCACGTATCTATCTGCCCATGAAAACCCAGCAGCGGCAATGGAGGCCATGCCAATGCCACACAAAGACGTGCATATCCACATTACTTCCTCGACACTATTCACGGAGAATGACATGACCGCCGTGGAAAGTACCATTATAGCAAGATCCGTGAAGATTATCACAGTAGAACTCAAAAACTTCGATACCATGATTGACAGTCCTCTTGCAGTGGCAAAGCAGCCCCAGAAAACAGTAGACAGGTTTGCCGCCTTAGGTTTAGACCAATGGAGAGTCTCAAAGCCAAATGTTGTTACAAGGGTTCCGAAAGCATTAGCTAAACCCACGAATAGAAAGATATGCGATGCAAAAAGAACCAAAAAAGGTACTTTAAACCACATGGAATCTTTACGAGTTGTTGGAACACCAACTTCAATATTTACTTTTTGTCTTTTCCAGTATAAGCATTTGCCGTCTTGATGAATAATTATAATAAACGGTAAAGTACAAAGTAGAGAAATCAAGCCAACGGCAATGTATGCAATCATTATGCGTGTTTCTGTCCACTTTTCCGCTGTATTAAGGATCGAGGTTTCACTAGACTCGTTGGTGAACATTAATGTATATGTACTGGTAGTGTTACTTAATAATGGATTCAATACTATCGTGTCTCCTTTTTTGCTTGAGATTCCCAAGACATCATTTATATTACGATATAAAGATGTATTTTCTTCGAAAGTAAAAAAATCCTTGTCTAAATTTAAGGTTTCATTGTTGGAAACGTCCATTCTTTTTGACAATAAAGGCTCTGCAATTATGGGGGCCACAAATGCACCAACGCCAAAAGAGAAGTGCAACAACTGTTGGTATGGACCACAACTGTTGGTATGGTCACTAATAGTTATAAGGAAAACATCCCCGGGGCTCCGTATCTCGAAAGCTTCGCTATGTTGCGCACGTGCGCAAGCATGGCGAGCGTGCGTTTTCCCATATCTCGAAAGCTTCGCAAATCCCGGCCGTGCGCTAATGTCGAAATCACCATGAGTTTCGAGGCTATTTTTTGCGGCGATACAAACTAGTCGCCTCTGCGTATGCATAATTCGTCATTTTAATGTGTCTTACATGTAATTAAACATGGTGGCAGGTTTGGGTTGCTAGTCATAATAGCATATAATAAAACATATAACAAAAACATGGAAGCTTTTAATTGATTGAATCACTGGTACCTCTGATAGAAAAACTTGCGGTAAATATTCACGTGAAGAATGCTAAAGTCATGTTTTATTATGCAGAAAAATTTCAAAATTAAACATTTCATACATCATTTTATATTTTCTGGTGAATTTAATTGTAGTCTATTGATAATAATAATAATAAATTTAAAAGTGTCATTTTCTACACAAAATGAAAAAGCAGAAACAAAGCATTCGGTCGCACCGCGACCTTCCTCAATGTCTATTATTGTGAGACTGAACACTACTCACCAATGTGTGTTTATTGGTGTCAAATACTTCAAATATCAGTATTTGTAATTATGATATTCCTATAAATAAAAACAACCTCTTTGTTATAGTGAGGAATGACGACAGCAGTTTGGAGCTTCCGAACGTTTATTCACCGACTCTCTTTTTCACAGAATGTACAAGTTTTTATACACTATTATCCATTCTCAAATTTCCCATTCTCATGTTACAAAACTCTATTCAATATTTCCTAATTTAGTAATTTAAATGAGACTTGTTTATGATTTAAAATATTTAAAATATTATCCGAATTACTCATCTTGGATCCTGTCCAATTCAAGAATGCATGAGTTCTACACGTGTTAAACACGCGCAAATCAGATGAGAAAAATTAACCAATCTGATCCAACTATATCGGACTCTGAAACGTTCCATACTTTCTTACTTCTAGAACAATATCTACACTTACTGACACTCAAAGAAATTTACTTGTACTCAATAACTTCCTACACATTTCATTCAGTTTTAATTGTTTTGTAATTGCCGAAAGTGTATGTCATTTGCTTTACAACATCTTGATTTGCGTCGTGGTGAAAAAAATTACATTTTGTGTAATTGTGTTATGACGTCTTCACTTTGTGCGGCAATCGAATTTTAGTAGAGTTTGAGGTAATAATTGCGTTGCGTTTGCTAAGGCTTCGAGATAGCAGGTGGGTGCAATCGCACTACCAAATAGGGCACGCTCGCCATGCTCGCGCACGTGCGCAAAATAGCGAAGCTTTCGAGATACGGGGCCCTGATCTGATCATATTTTGCTCGGGGCCATAAGGCAGCGTCCTCTAAAAACATGCTCACCATTTAAAAGAAAATTATATTTCAAGATGCAGACCTACTGTTTGTTTCAGCCTACAGCATATTTTCGTTATCTAGCCAAAATAGGCCTACCACCGAAACAACAATCGGAAGTCAGTCTGTATCAGCACGTACAAAATCTGCCGAGCACCTATTTGACTGGGTTCCCACACTTAGACCGATCTAACAGGATCGATCCATCTCCAAACTCGTTAAATTGCTTTCAGCTTAAGAGGCTTAGATGTGTGGCACGCCACGCCTACTGAAGCTGCTAAACGATTTTTAATTACCCCAAAACTGTTTCAGTAGGCGTGACAAACATCTAAGCCGCTTAAGTTGATTGCAATTTAGCGAGAATCCCCTTGGAGATAGATCCAACCAAAGTTAGTGCGATAGGACTAACGAATGGTCCCTATACCTACATGTATCCAAACACCCCATCACTATACCCTGTCCTGCCAGACACGCTGCCAGTTCCGATAAGTTCGAAGCAAACGGAATGAGAACATTTGTTACAGCAGTCAAAATCATCACCAAACTGAGGATCAAGTGATGGTTCATGTGGTCGAAGAAGATGCCGCCACTAATGGACCCAATAATTAAACCGGCTGAACGGCCACTGATGGTGTAAGTGACTGATTCCACGGAGGCACCAACTTGTTTCCTCAGATCAATTAACGTGGGTCCAGGGATTGCCATGCTTGCTCCCTACATGAAACGTTAAGATGCCGTTTTACCGTGTCAACAAATCTTATTTTCTTTCACACGTAGTAAATAATTAAGATTCACTTCATAATCAGAAATCGAAAACTACAATATTTTCATATCGATCCTTTTCGTGGCGAGTTATTAGACACATTGGAAATCTTTTACAAATGCAACTAATAATTATATTCATCAACAAATTTGGCCTGATCCCGCATCTAAAATTAAGCATTTAACTTTGATGCCGCTATCAAATATAAGACTTCACTTTTCTCTTCAAGGTAACTGGCATGATATTGAAGCATTCCCTTTTAATAACGAACTTAATAAACGTAATCTTGGCGATACCCAGACAGGTTTTTAGACAGAAAAACACAGTTGAATTTTCTTTCACTTACGAAAGTCATATACGCAGCACATATAGCAAATATTTGGAACCACTTGCTTCTGATAGACAGGGATCGAGAGCTGAAAGTTTTTTCGCCAGAAAACTCCATGGCATACGAAATATCCGTTATTAACCAAGTGAACCTTATCACTTCAGCACTTGACCCAAATAACATACGTAAAGGCAAACAAGACATGTAAAAGCAAACAAGATATGGTGGATAGATAATGTTATATGATGTATTACAACTTTTACCTACTGGCCCTCTCAACTAAGCACCTGTTTTTAGACTGAATGATTAAAAAAAGTCCAGGGGGAATCATATAACAGAAATTTATTTTTATGGGACCTCCCCCATTAATTTGCCACCATAATCCATGGCCCACCCCTTTTTACAAGAGCAGAAACAGATGACCCACCCCCAGTAGCTACTGGTTGCCTTTGTACTCCCTTTCGACTTTTCCTGAGAATATGCAATGGTATTTTAATTGATTCTAATATTTTTTATTTATGGGTCCATTCAGAAAAGACATTTTAAAAAAATATTAAATATTAGAATCTCATATCAAGAAGCACTAAAAACTACGTTAACTGTATCACCACAATGTCAGTTGCGACGAGTTGTGTATAAAAAATGCTACAAAATCAATATTCCATATGATTAGCAAAAGTGTATTTAAGTTACATACACATGCACTTGAATTCTAGTGATATAGTGGTACCATACCACAATATATCAATTATGACAGGCTGACTTTTTTTTTTACTTTACATGTCTCATGAATACGTTTAGTCATTGAAAAATAACGAATATATGGTTATTTATCAATTAATGAATCCTAGATTATGGAAGCAAATATGGTATGTATTAGGTAGTGACCGTAAATCCACAGTTTGTGTTTCTCGATGCAACATGCGGGTCTTGCAAAGCCTATCTCAGAATGAAATGCAACTCAAAAAGGTTTTTGTCTGTGATAATATGGGGACGGAATTATTTCATTTAAAAATGTGGCGATTTCTCAGTGGTGGTCAACTTAAGAAAATATAATATTGGACCATAGATATTACATAATGCCCAGGCTTTGAATAACTTTTGTCCCCTTATAACAATCGGGGTGAATATATGTTAAGTTGATGAGCTCCCAGTTTTTTTAGCAACGTGTGACAGAGACGCGGATCAAAAGTCTAATAGGATATTCATTTCAGTCATGAAAACAGTATCCAAAATGGCCATATTATTCCTTGGCTAATATTTCATAATCTTCTGCACACCCTATTTTCGATTGTGAGCTAAAATAATTTCAAATATTGAAAGCTACAAATCTGTGGTCTCTGTGGTGTCTTGGTGAGGTTCATCCTTATTATCATGAACTTGTTGAGGGACGGGAAGGTATCGTTCACCATGGAAACGAGCAAATATATACAGGATAGTGAACAAAACTACATTACCTACTGCACCACCTAATGATATATATGCAAAATGCATCCCGTTGATTTGGAAGAAGTGGCCAAAAAGTGCAGGCAAAGTAAGCATCCCTATCGCAGCTCCCACAGTAATCAAGGATGCAGCTTTCCCGGTAATGTGAACATACCTATTCGCCCATGAAACTCCGGCAGGGAAAACGGAAGCCAAACCAATCCCATATAGAGCTGTGCAAATCCACATTATTGCCTCTGCACTGTTAACCAAAAATGACATCAACATCGTTGTAAGTACCATTAATGCAAGATCTATCATGGTCATTACAGTAGAACTCAAAAACTTTGACACTATGATTGACAGGCCTCTTGTGGTGGCTAAGCAGCCCCAGAAAACAGTAGACAGGTTTGCCGCCTTAGGTTTAGACCAGTGGAGAGTCTCAAATCCAAATGTGGTTACAAGAGTTCCAAAAGTAATTTCCAGGCCCACATACAATAGGATATATAATGCAAAGATGAGCAAGAAAGGTACTTTAAACCACATGGAATCTTCTCGAGTTGTTTGGGCCTCTTCTGGATTATGTGCCTTTACCTTTTTCCAGTATAAACATTTGTGTTCTTGATGAGACATTGCAATGAAAGGTATAGTACAAAGTACAGCAATCATACCAACACCAATGTAGGCATACATAATGCGCGTTTCTGTCCACATTTCCACAGTGTTAAGGATCGAGATTTTACTGGACTCGTTGGTGAAGATTGTCGTGTATGTAGTGTTACTTAAAAACGTATTCAATAGCATCTGGTCTTCTTTTTGGCTTGAGTTTTCCAGGAAATCATTGACTGGACGATCTAGAGATGTTTTATCTTCCAAAGTAAAAGGCAACTTGTATAAATTTGACGTGTCATTGTTGGTAACGTCCATTCTTTTTGACAATAGGGGCTGTGCAATTATTGGGGCCACAAATGCACCAACGCCAAAAGAGAAGTGCAACAACTGAAGGTATGGACCGCTTTTCTTTTCCCACAGTTCCAGAATCATGGCATTGCCACCTAAAATGTAAATGGTACATGGTAAATATTCCAGCTCCAGATCATATTTTGATTATAGCTAAGTTTTCAAAGGAACACCACAGTTTAAAATCAAGGGATATTCCAAATTACCGAATCGACTGGCCAACTGGTTGCTACAACTTGCCTTTGGCCTAGTTTGGCTTTATTAACACAATTAGCTATTAGATAAGTTCTAATTAATCCCACCACAGGTCCACTAATCCCGTAAGCCCTCCGTAAGAGAACAATAGAGGGCAGTTTATACAGGAGAAGGATTAAAGGACCACTATACTAACATGTATCCAAGCACCCCATCACTATACCCTGCCCTGCTAGACATGCTGCCAGTTCCGATAAGTGTGAAGCAAACGGGATGAGAACATTTGTTACAGCAGTCAAAATCATCACCAAACTGAGGATCAAGTGATGGTTCATGTGGTCGAAGAAAATGCCGCCACTAATGGACCCAATAAATAAACCAGCTGAACGGCCACTGATGGCGTATGTGACCGATTCCACGGAGGCACCAACTTGTTTCCTCAGATCAATTAACGTGGGTCCAGGGATTGACACGCTTGCTCCCTACAAAAAAGATGACATTATGTTTATTATCATATTTGGACCCAGGCTTGAAATGAGTGAGTAATAAAGTTTATTTTGTACATAAATGCCAAAATGTGTGCAACTCAATTTGTCTCATGGTGGGCTATCGAAGGAGTACTCAAGTAAGCAGTAAAAATAAAATGTGACATTTATCAACCAAAATTGTTTCATTAAAAAAATTGGATTGTTTTCCAAAATAGATATTATCATAACGGCGTCAATATCGGTTCTCTTGAGATATGATGCCTGAGAAGAAGTATCTTTCTAAGTTGAAGTAATATCAAGTATTCAAATTATCATCTATGAAAGAGTGGTACGCCCAAAAAAGACGCTCATATCGGTGTCGAGTCACTGCAACGGTCAGCGGTCGACTGGCCACATCTAGCTGCTGCCAGGTCCTAAAACGGCAAGGTATTCCTTTTGACAGGTTTCTTGGAGTTTGATCAGGAATAATAGTCCAGGCATCGGTCGGAGCTTGTCCCGTTTGGTTCAGATTTCTTGTATCTTGTAGCCTCTACGATTTTGTCAAGCTGAAACTTTTGACAAGCTTTTTAAAGGATATTGTTACCCTTTACTATCATCCAGATACCAAAAATTAGTTTCTTCCTGCATCTAATTAATTAATAATGCACGTATTTTTGTGCTGATTTTAAAAAATAAAATAACTCCTCGAAAATATAAAATACCCCCCTTTATATTTCTCGTTGCAATGTATATAATAGTGCACTGACAGCGTGTCAATCTATAATGAAGCCGTACATAAGGCAACTGCACTGAGATTGAAAGGGCTCCGGACGAGCATTTTTCTAACAAAATACGTTTTCCCCTCTCCCCTCGAGGTAATGTTGGAGAAGTGGCACTGCCTTCGCACATTATGTAAATGTAGCCCGTACCTTCTTACGATTTTGAAAAAATCGTATACACTTTAGTCGTGCGGCGCCCGTGGCAAATGTAATCAAGGCTTATCATTTGACAGCTCTGTAAAGCCTAGGTCCTTAACCTTCCCTGCGATCTAGCTACGTCCTAGCCGGACGCAAGGAACCTAAAAACCGTGCGTCCAAAACGTAGTTGGGACCTAGGCCTATCGTAGGATCGCCTTGCGTTGTTGTAACAGCAAGCCCAACGTACAATGATCGTGCAGTGCCTGTGCAATTCCCGTGCGTGGATTGCGCAATGCTATCTCGATTTTGTTACGGTCTACGGGCTTAAGATTTTTTAAAAAATTGTCGAAAGTTACAACTTAACAAAAGCATAGAGACTGTACGATTCAGTGTGCCCTTGAAATCGAACAATAACTTACGAGTAAATGAACTTAAACTACATGTAGATAAGGGTGATTTTCACCAAGGCAAAACAGTGTCATGATAGGAGTCAGGACAAATGATAAAGCTGGTGTTTGTCGAATTTTCTCTCACTTCACTCACCAAAGCCATCATCGCAGCACATATTGCAAATGTTTGGAACCGCTTGCCTCTGACAGACAGGGATCGAGAACATAAACTGTTTTTGTCCGAATAGTCCATGCTTTCCTTAAAATCCGTCAGAGGAAAAGTGAGCTCTATCATCTCAGCACTTGACTCGAAATGTAATAGGTAAGCAGGAAACAAGGTATACATCACGTGGCAAAGCCTGTGGAATCCCCTGATAAATTGATGTTGACCAAACTTTGTTTTAGAATGTGACGCTCACTAATACTAATACTTACTTATATATACTTACTTATTTAAGGTGATTACTATGGGCTTTTCTTCCATTTGAATCTTACTCGAAATAACGATCGAAATAATTTGTTCACAGCTTATATTTTCAAAAAACAAGATTCAACATATCGTCATTTTGCTCTCATAATAATTGTTGGGCCTGCTCTCTCGGCACCGGAATCTTTTGACGTCAATGGCTTATCGATGACGCAAGAAAAAATCGAAAAATCTCCAACATTTTACCGCACAATATTAATCCATTTTTATTTTTGACATTCACGTGAACAACATCAGCGCACTATCTATCAGTTAACGAGACAGTGAAACGTTCGTATGCAGACTCATTCAGGTAAATTTTTAATAGCGGTAAACGTAAAAATCGATAAACGTAATCTTGGGTAAGCCTAGACAGGTTTTCTTTATACAATAAAGACAAACAAAGCTGATTTGTCGAATTTTCTTGTCACATTCGAAAGTCATATACGTTGCAGGGGTGGATCCAGATATATTTTCTGACAGTCTTCCAAATTATCTTTGTTAATCCATCCTCCACCCGTCAATGTAAATGTGTAAAATCTGACCGTCTTCCGGAAGACCCAGAAGACGGCCTCAATACGCCCCTGTTATACGCCTTGATCCCCCACCAACATTTCGCGCCCCAAGTCTTCATCGCTGCCATTAACTGCCACCTGCATCAGATATTCTCTTTTTTATGCTTTTAATACAAAAACGTCTAATTCAAAGCCAGTTAATGGATTCCCGTATGCATGAGGCCTTCAAAGACATTTATCTGAAGAGTTAAATATCACTATATCATTTCTTGTTCCCAACAAAAGATTGAAACCTTCATGCTGCAGCAACTGCCTGTCATACAAGTTGCATCCTCAGGAGTTATATACAGGTAATGAAAATGAAAATGCATTTTGAGAAATGATTGACGCGTAAGAGTTTGGGGAACAGATGGTAAGAAGTCACTTCCCAATTTCCTGTCTTTTGTCGACAGGACGCACCCCACATAATTCATGGTATGGAATTTATTGACTACAATGGTGTAGGTGAGCTGGCAGTGGTCAAAGACATTAACCTTAACTAAGTCAATTGGAAAGGAAATGTCTTTGGGGAACATGACTACCCATTTATTATTTAGCATGATAATGCTACTCCACGTACATTCAATGAAACAGCAGACTGCTTACATGCAAAACTTTTCAGACCCCCCCCCCCCCCGTCCACAATAGCCAGCTTGATCTCTACATCAGAACCTCATTAAGGATCTGTGGGATACCCTCGAAAATGGATAACCACAATATGTGGAACGTCGTCACTCCGCACACGTTACAGAACTTTTTGACTCCATGCACGCACGGACGCGTCAGGTGCGTCCTCCAATCCAGAGGATACTATACAAAATACTAAAATATGGCTATGATTTTTTACTACTGGTTAGCTTTTTCATTGGTTGTACAATCAGTAACATTTTGTGGAAAAAATCCTTTTTAAAGTTGAATAATAACCATTGGTTCATTAAATGATTTTCTATATCACTTTACGCATTGCATTAGGAGTGACACTTTTTTTGCTAGGGGAGTATCTTAGAACTTCTAGTTACTGGCCCTCTCAACAATTCACCCGTTTTAAAGTGAATGATTTCAAAACAGTGTGTGCGAAACTCCAGTTACTGGTGTTCAAAGGCAAAAACATATAGTGTACATATTCTGGACCAGAATTCTCTCTCACACAAACATTCAGGCAATCACGCATTCCTGACAAACACAAAAACTAACAACACAAGGTATTGTCCTATCGTCTTTAACTATTGAACCAGGCGTTGAATCGGGGCTAGTTGCTACATTGCATGTATCTTATGTTAATCTAGTGGGATTTCAATTTTTTTCATGCAGTCTGGGCTTCATCTATTTTTACGCTCACCCATGGTATTAACTACATTCACCTACGTATCGAAGCAACAATACTTGAAATATAATTATGAAATTACCTGTTGGATAAATATTCAGGTAATAGTTATCTTGCTCAGCATCATCACTATTATAGTCCCTGTGTTTTTGACATGCATTTTAACGTTACTTTAGCAAAACGCTTTGTAGAGTGTTGCACAATTCATCTATGGCAAACGATAAATAGCAGTTGCAACTATTCTTTATCATCTTTCTTCATAAATAATGTTTTGAAATCCACGTTTTATTGGAGCTTCTGACCTCAAAAGAATAAATTATATTATATAATATTATATAATAAAAGTTACCAACTAACCTTTATATTAGGAATGAATACAGGGTAGTCACACGAGAAAGAATATTGTACAAGCTTGCCAGAATGGCCAAAAACCCAATGACATGTGGAAGGTGAGGATGATGCTTGATGACAGTTCAGTTTTTTCACTAACAAAGAAGATGGCCTTATATGAGAAATTTATGGAATGCTGCAAATTTGTAATATATATAAAATTGACAAACAATTACAATTAATTTATTTTCTAGTGATGCCATGTCGTGATATGTCAGTAATGAGTCAGTTAAACTGATTGCATTCGAGTCAGTGAGCATTATAGCTAGTGCTACCTCCTTCATTCTGAATTAAATATCAAGACCTTGAATAATTTTTGCCCCTTTAAAACAATTGGGATGAATATCTTAGGTCCTTGAGGTCCCAAATTTTTGGCAACTAGTATAGCAACGTGGGGCAGTGTTAAGAATCAAAATAGTCGCAGGATATTCGTTTTAATCACGAAAACTGCTTCTTAAATGGCCGTTGACTCCTCGGCTGATTCTTACTCTGTTGTCCCTTATTCAACACGCCTGGATTTTGGTTATGACGGAAAATAATTTGAAAAATTTATTTTAATATTGATAGTTACAATTCTGTGGTGTCTTGGTGAGGTTCATCCTTATTGTCCTGCACTTGTTGAGGGACGGGAAGGTATCGTTCACCATGGAAGCGAGCAAATATATACAGGATAGTGAACAAAATTACATTACCTACTGCACCACCTAATGATATATATGCAAAATACATCCCGTTGATTTGGAAGAAGTGGCCAAAAAGTGCAGGCAAAGTAAGCATCCCTACTGCTGATCCCACAGTAATCAAGGATGCAGCTTTCCCGGTAATGTGGACATACCTATTCGCCCATGAAACTCCGGCAGGGGAAACGGAAGCCATGCCAATCCCATATAGAGTTGTGCAAATCCACATTATTGCCTCCGAACTGTTAACCAAAAATGACATAATCATCGTTGTAAGAAACATTAATGCAAGATCTATCATGGTCATTACAGTAGAGCTCAAAAACTTTGACACTATGATTGACAGGCCTCTTGTGGTGGCCAAGCAGGCCCAGAAAACAGTAGACAGGTTTGCCGCCTTAGGTTTAGACCAGTGGAGAGTCTCAAATCCAAATGTGGTTACAAGAGTTCCAAAAGTAATTTCCAGGCCCACATACAATAGGATATATAATGCAAAGATGAGCAAGAAAGGTACTTTAAACCACATGGAATCTTCTCGAGTTGTTTGGGCTCCTTCTGGAATATGTCCCTTTGCCTTTTTCCAGTATAAACATTTGTGTTCTTGATGAGAAATTGCAATAAAAGGTATAGTGCAAAGTACAGCAATCATGCCAACACTAATGTAGGCAAATATAATGCGTGTTTCTGTCCACATTTCCACTGTGTTAATGATCGAGATTTCACTGGACCCGTTGGGGAAGATCGATGTATATGTAACGTTACTTGGATACGCATTCAATAGTATTGTTTCTCCGTTTTGGCTCCAAATGTCCAGGGTGTCATTTACATGACGATGCAGAGATGCATTATCTTCTCCAGTAAACAGCAGCTCGTATACATTTGACGTTTCATTGTTGGTAACGTCCATTCTTTTGGACAGTAGAGGCTCTGCAATTATGGGGGCCACAAATGCACCAACGCCAAAAGAGAAGTGCAACAACTGAAGGTATGGACCACTTTTCTTTTCCCACAGTTCCAGAATCATGGCATTGCCACCTAAAATGTAAATGGTCAAGAACAGAAAGAATCTTTATATTCTCCAGATCATATTTTGATTAGAGGTAAGTTTTCAACAGAACGTTTTAAAATCAACCGATATTCGATATATAAGTTACAGAATTGACTGGCATACGGTTGCCTTTGATTATTTTAGCTTTACCAACTCAACCAACTGTTACTTAGGTCTTACTCCCACCGCAGTGCTATAGTTCAAATCCCGTAATCCCTCCCACAAAGACAACAGTTAAGGGTAGTATATACAGACAAGGACCTTTATACTAACATGTATCCAAGCACCCCATCACTATACCCTGCCCTGCCAGACATGCTGCCAGTTCCGATAAGTGTGAAGTAAACGGGATGAGAACATTTGTTACAGCAGTCAATATCATCGCCAAACTGAGGATCAAGTGATGGTTCATGTGGTCGAAGAAGATGCCGCCACTAATGGACCCAATAATTAAACCAGCTGAACGGCCACTGATGGCGTATGTGACCGATTCCACGGACGCACCAACTTGTTTCCTCAGATCAATTAACGTAGGTCCAGGGATTGACACGCTTGCCCCCTACATAAAAAATGAGATTAAGTTTTTTACTCCTTTATATTGTTTTATTCATAGCATATTGGGTTAGACCCTCGGCTTGGAATAAGTCAGTAAATAAAGTTTATCTTGTACTAAAATTCCAAAATATGTGCAGCTCAATTTCTCCCATGGTGGGGCTATCGAAATCACACTCCCCTCAATTTAGCAAATTTATCATTAAATAAATTGCACAATTTTCCAAAACAGATGTAATCGTTACGGTGGCAGTATCGGTTCTCTTGAGATATGGTGCTGGAGAAATACATGTAGAATCCGAAGTTGAAGTAACATCAAGTGATTTGAATCCAATAATAAAATTGTCCAATTGCATTATTATTGAACTTTGAAATTAACGTTTTTAGCCACCCGATATATTTAATGTTTGGAAAAAAATTGTCAGCAAACTTTCATATGAATTCATAATAAATTATGTATAGTTCATAGTGACTTAACACCTTGAAATCGGCCAAAAACTTACGAGTCAATGACTTCGAACTACATGTAGATAAGGGTGGCTTTCACCAAGGCAATACAAAATGTCATGAAAGGACAAATACTAATGCTGGTGCTTGACGAATTTTCTCTCACATCACTTACCAAAGCCATCATTGCAGCACAAATTGCAAATGTTTGGAAGCACTTGCCTCTGACAGACAGGGATTGAGAGCATAAACCTTTTTCGTCCAAACTGTCCATGATTTCCGAAATATCTGTCAGTGGACAAGTAAACTTTATCACCTCAGCAGTTGACCTTGAGTGCCATAGTAAGCATGTAAGCAGCAAACAAGGTACCATGTATGTCCTGTGACATATGCATCACGTGGTGAGCCAGTGCAATCCCGTGGTGGATAGATGTTGACCAAACTTTGTGACGCTCTCCTAGCAGCAGTCTCAGCAGTGTGCACAATATCCAGATGGAAATGAACATCTTTAAAAATGTGTGGACTGCATTTATTGTTGGTGAAATACTTATATCGTCTCTAACATTGACTCAAACTCTTCGCGCGTGATCTCATAAATAATTTTATAGCAAAAATTCAGGACTGAATTTTACTTTTATTTAAGGGGATAACTAAGGATATTGTCACTCTTCGCTTAAAACACCTTATTTACTGCCTTACATACCTTCTTTTGGGTAATAAATAAATCTTCAGTGTTTAGTGACTAAATTAATTAACATTTACACATATGTCATCTTACGCGTGACGTCATCATTGCAATTTTGAGGTAAAAACTGAAAAATCGGTATCTCAAATTTCCATATTATCTGATTGCCCACGACCATTTCTACGCCGATTTAGTGACACCATTTAGTACTCCAAAACCCTACCAGCGATTTTTCTTTGAAGTCTTAGTTCAGATTTTATCATTGATTGAGCAAAATAATGCCTTTGTTTAATGAAAATCTGTAATAAAGGGCTCATAACTCCATAAAAAAACGTTTCGTTGATTTTCATGTAATTAATATATAAATGTTCAGGATAAGATAAGCTCGGATTACTATTCCTAAAAACTCATCCATGGAAGTAGAAATGGGATTTGGCATATCGTACACACGGGTTCAGAACCTTATGATGTAATACAAGCGACATGAGCTTTTAGCTACGTGGATAATTTGATTTTATTACTTTGCATAATCTCGGTTTTCTTAAGTTAAAGCAATGATTGTTGACATTCAAGTTTCCTTACCAGTTTGTAGCGAATCCAGCATTACTTAGAAAATGGTCATTTTATAACTTCGACGCAAACTCCATCTAACTTAGGACCCAATACCTTAGATCCAACTTACATGAAATAAAAACAACGCCTCAATCATCAAAATAATATAATCACTTTATTCATATATTTATATATCTACTGGATAAGAATCAAATTTACAGAATTTGTTCATATGCACTTAGTAGTATAGACTGCCATTTGTATATAATATATTTATGAAAATGTAAATACTTTCCCAAACTAAATTACAGCGAGTTCCATTGTACAAATCCATCGAAGTTCCCCAAGGCACCCTCCTTTACCATAAAAAAAGGGAAACCTACCAAAAGAACAACAAGAGCATGTCACAGAAATACCTACTTCCAGAAACCATAACACTTTTTCTGCCGGGAGACAAACAGCTATCACAGACACACCTTAAACTTTACATTAACATTTACATTTCACATAAATGTGTTCCTGTAAAGGGTCGGCATATCTGACAGTGACAGGTGGATTTCATACAAGGACGAGTGAGCAACATCATTTCAATTAAAAACTTTTGCCTTGATATGCCTCTTGTGAAATATAGGCAACCCCAGTAGGTTTACCTTGAGGGGAAATTGACCAAAGTTTAAGTAGATCATTATCATAAGAAGCAATGCAAACATGTCTTTTTTTGTCATAGAAAACAAAAGCAAAATTTCAGCAGCCAACTGCTCGAATCTTAAAACATGCCAAGCATCATTTCACTATCGGTCTTTTTTGGCAGTTTATCCAGATTTTCTATACAAGCAGCAACCATTACATAAATATATGTATATACAGTTATTTTTCCTGTAAAAAAGCTTAACGTGTATAATTATACCCAATAAATGCACAACCTCATTTTTGTCCTGTTATAACCACCTATCCGGATACATTTTGGTAAAAAAGAAAAAAAAAAAAAAAAAGAAACAAAACGAAAAAGAAAGAATCAAATGTGTACAATTACTGATCTATCCACTATAAAACCACTGCTTGGATTATTTTCCAAATTCTAATGACCAAAAGTATGTAGAAGCTGAAATGTGAATCAGAATTGGTGGCAAGATTTTCACATCTTTTTTTCAAAGCTGACATACTTGGCAAATGGATACTGGCAATCAAATCTATTACATATTGCAAACTGGATTACACAAATACTACTAATTTTGTAATTATCACAATTTTTCTTAAAACTGTGCCCAAGTCATAACCCATGCATATTATGCACGTCTTTAAGCCTTGCAATCAAGGCAGTTCACACGATTTTCTCATTTAGTCCTAATCCACATTCTAAGAATTGAAAGAAATATTCATTTATGGAAGAAACCCAATATCTGTATAAATTCAAGATCATATAATGGTATTATATATTTGTAATAACAAAAAATATTGCCATTGATTTACTTAATCATGTGACCAGATAACTGTGATTAAAAGTACAACCAGGCAGTCCATGCACACAGCTGGGTGAAGTTACATATGAAAGCTTATAACACTGTTTTCAATTTTACACGTTAAAACTGTGTGTCATTAGAAATAATACTAATTTAAGTATCTGTACTGTAACCATTTTGTTTTTGATGTAAACTAATTGTTTTATCTATTCATTGTGAAACATCTCTTGGCTTTGAATGATAGCTCACATTTAACTTGCAGTCTGTGTAGGCATAGAAATGTAATCAACCTGCTTAAATTGTTTTTGATGTAAAAGAACAAAACAAAACAGTTACAGTATTATTTCAACCAGAAGCTTAATTGTTCTTCATATTGACAGTTTTAACATCTTCCAGTCGTTTCCTTCAATAAGGCAATGTAAATCAAAACTACTATAAATCCATGACTGTTAAAGATGGTTTCCACTACACTGGAACAATCTTTTTGGTCCCCTCAGACTTCTCCATCATCCAACAGTCCTGAATGAAGTTGATTTCTTCTCAATCTTCCCCAGAAAGTTTGCATTCTTACAAGTACATTTTTCACTCTCACAATCTTTGGAACATCTCATTTTTCTTCTGGAATGGTACATGCTGTGACTTGGGATCAGCCTTTTTGCGTTTTTTCAGCATTTCCCTCATTTCCTTGGCAGACATGGGTAAGTTCAGAGTGTCCCCGTTGGCCTGAGGAGAGGGGGCTGGGGGCTGGGGGGCTGCCGCTTTGACAGGAGCTGGTTCCTCTACATGTACAGGCTCAGGAGGTGGTGGCTCCACAACAGGGGCTGGCTCTGGCTCTGGCTCTGGCTCGGGTTCAGCAGGGGGTGGTGGTGGTGGAGTAGGGTCCCTTTGTGGCTCCTAGAATGAGGGAGGAGAAAGAGTCATATCATGTTAAACAGCAAAGCAGCATTCCCTTCAGCATGCGGTTACCAATCAGTCAGAATGCTGCTACATTGCCCACATAACCATACTTCACCTTCATGCAGTTGGAATCTTATAACACTAAAGTTCACCATATGAATTCCAAAACCTTTATCGCAGAGATGCAGTTTTTATCCTTGGCGTCCCATCCGGTAATAGGCTGAAATCTTATATACCACAGTTTTCATCTCATCATTTGAAGTAATTTCATGCAAGAGATGTTAGAACTGAAAATGATCATGACACCCTCAACCTATGACTCAGGGTAAAAACACAATGGGCAATAGCCAAGAGCTGAAACATGGTAACGCATGCCCAGAATAAGTATGTATCCCTAGGCCATCTCTGTACTCCTGAGTACATATTCATGCACCACCTCCTGCTGCCATCTGGTGGAACAAAAAGGTTAATACATAATAAATCAACAAATGTAAATGATGTTAGTTTCCCTGCCAACTCATACATGCAGGACTTCTTGCATTAAATGTGTTCTACTAATTACAGCAGTTTTGGATTTCTGATTCCGCACTGGTGCCATGTGCAATGTGAACATGATTGAGCATTTGCTGAAATGCTTTAATGAGAGCCTTGCGACTGTGATGTGAAAGGATACAAAATGTGTGTGCATAAACTTCTATATATCAGTGCAGTTGGACAGGGAATAAAGCTGCTTGGTGAAGTGAAAGCCAAAATAAAAACTTAGTCTCAAATAAATGACAGGAAAAAAATGGGAAAATTAATATTCAGAGTAATTTGAAATTTCCAAGGTATCATTTTAATAATGAACATGGCTTGGGGGGAATCTTTCCTTTCCACATCTCAAAATATTTACTCATAATTAGTAACTTGCATGTTTGAATGCCTAAAATGGTAACTTGAGGCGTAAAAGAAAAAAAAATGAAGCATGCAAAGGACAAACTCAGGCATAGATGTCAGCACTGGTCTCACCTCCACAGCAGCAGCTGGTGGTTCCTCCTCTTCCTGAAATTGTGACAACTTTGCATAAATGTTAAAGCACACAGCACAGCAACCAACTGCAACTTGTATTGGCTGATATTTCTTCCACTAACTTTTTACAGTGAAGAAATACTTGAGATTAATCAAAGCAAAAGTTCTGAGACAACACCACACTTGACTTTTACATTTGAAATTAGGACCAATGCATATGACACTCACAGGTTATGGATTTTTGAGAGGAAATGATCTTCATAAAGTCAAGATAAAAACAATGTGAATATATCGGTCATTTTTTCACCTTATCATGGCCATTGGTTAGCTCAGGTTCTGGCTCTTCTTGTTTCTGCTCTTCCTGCTGAGGAAATGTTTTTGGCCAATTAAAACTGTTACATTTTTCAATACATAGTGCACAGAGCAGAGCAGTAAGCAGCTGCAAGCCGAAGTTTGTTGACAAGTACAACTGTAAACTGTTTAAACCAATGACATGTAGGTTTAAATAATTTAACAAATATCGAGTTAAAATTATCATAAAACCAGGTAGTTATCTTGTTTTGTATGCCTAAATGCATAACTTAAAACCATAGATGTTAAAATGACCCTGTAAATTTTATTTCTATGAGCACTCTGAAAAGCTGAGCATGGGTAAACAACCCCAAGCAAAGAAAACTCCACACAAAGTTCACACCACTGAAATTCATTTGTGGTGTTAATATTTTCATATCCCCCCTTTGGATCTTTTAAGTCACAGAAAGATGAAAACAACCACACAGCAATTTGCAAATTTCATAAAATTGTATTCATATCTTCACTGTGAAAAATAAAAAGCTGTAGAAGATGCTGTTAGTGATAAGCAGTGTCAGCTAGAGAGACACAGCACACAGTGGCTATCTCACCTCATCCTGGACCACCTCTACTGGCTCTGGCTCAGGCTCTGGCGACACCTAGTGGTGGAAAGTCAAGGCCAAATGTAAAACATCTCATACATTTACACAGTTACTTCTGAAAATGCTTTTATATCACTTTTGTCAAACAGATTAAAATAACAGGAACAAATTTGCATTAAATCTATTTGTAAAACTTTCATTACGTTTTTTTTTTTTTTTTGTGCACCTGAAAGAAAAGACGTGTAATGATTGGTTCATACCCATTAAGTAAACTCATCATTATCAAAATGACAAAACAATGAAAATGCTACAAAAACGTATATATAAAGCACATGCAGTCTATGATCAAGATCTGAAACAAATTGTAACATGTTGATTAGCTGGCTGATATATCGGAGTACAAAACCAGACATTAGTAAGCGACATCATTATTTCAAAATGCTTCGTAGCAAAACATTCAGCAGAAAGCATCAGCATATATTATTTTGACTGCATATGTCTGGTATTATTGTCTAAATATATATAACATATAGTGTAAAATCCCTTCCTGTAACATATAGTGTAAAATCCCTTCCTATATTCCTATTCCAATTGTATACATGCTTTCTTATGTGACCCTGGTTTAAGGTTAGCTTCCAAACATACTTGACATATAAACACATATGGCCTTATCTTAGACATGCTTAAATGCATCCAAATATTAGTCTATGAATGCCAAAAAAATCAATTCTATATAAATAACAAAAACAATAAATAACATGTTAATCTGAACTGTTACCCAAATTAAAGACCACAAAAAATACAAACAATCAATCTTTCATCAGAATACATGCTGTTAAATAATGTAACTTGATATTCCCTGACCAATGGCTAAAACAAAACAAAAAAATAATATCATTATGCCAGTATCTCTGACCATTGTTAGTGGCATTTAGTTAAAATATGCCTGGCCCATGCATCAGCAAGCCTTTGGACTTTTTACCTTGTCAGAATGTACTGAGGGTTCCTTCTCTGACTGACTGTCAGAAGATAACTGTTTCTACAAAGGCAAGAATCATTCCTATAACTAAAGCTGGGCACTCAAGATGAAAATAAATTAAGGTAAAATTTATATATTGTGTTTGCATGCATTTGTTACAACAGAACCAGTCTTTTGATCCAAATAGTAATTGGAACCAATTTCTCATAGTACAGTATGAAAATATATATGAGATACACATAAAATGAGACCGTATAGAATGAGCATTATCCTCACTGCTAGTACCTGTTCCTCCTGTTCTGAGTGGACAGAAGGTGTCTTTTCTGCCACCTCCTCAGCTACCTCCTGCTGGAAGAGAACAACTTGGAGAATCACTTATGAGTTTAAAAAAAGTTCTCTGACACTCTGGGACAATGTAAATGTTTGCATCAACCAAATGTCATGAACACAGACGACATTGCACTTGCTTTCAAAGGAATGGCCGAATGATTAATGTGATACTTTGAATTGTGTGATTATAAATTCTGAGTAAAATTGCCACATATGAGTGGACAGTAATTCAATATACCATATCAATTATGTTCTTGCTCTACTTGCCACCAAGGATTAACAGTAGGTTCTTCATTCCTGCTAGATCTAGTAGTATTACCATTTAACTTTTGGGAAGGCAAACCTGGCAGTTGTCTCCTTGTTACTTTTTTACCCAGGAATACCATCCCCTGTATTACTGACTGAATTAACTCGGTCTTGTTAGTAAAATAACTGTTCTAAACACCTTATATTTCAACCCTGTGAAAGGATATACTCCTTAAGACACAATGAATAGACTTTGCACAATACCACAAATACCAGACAACATGACAATGAAGAGATTAGTCAATTCAAAGGCTATACTGATCAATTTTAGTCATGATTATCATTCTGTGAAGGCTCCTGAAAAACAAAGACAAAAGCTGAGCAATGATTGCTATCATAATTCCATTATTAGCATATTTAGTCCCCTTGCACAAAATGGCAGAACCAATGCATCTTCTCTCTCTACACCATCTCCTGATAACAAATTCAAAGTGTTAGTTACATCACCACACCATTGTACATCTAATGAAGATTACACATCTTTCAAATCCACCAACATTTATATACCTCATCTGCGTGGACAGTAACACAATGTTAGCTACATCACCACACCAGTGTATATCTAATGAAGATGTACACATCTTTCAAATCCACCAACATTTATATACCTCATCTGCGTGGACAGGCACCTCTGCCTCGGGTGCTGGTGGCTCTGGTAATTCCTGATAACAAAAGGGAATAATGAAGGGTGAGTTACATGGTCTGGAACATACTCTGTGCATTTATCAGAAATTGCCACAGGGCAATATTGTTTTAAGAGACAAAAAAAAGTTTTAAAAAATTATAACTGAAAAAAAATAATAACCAATACCTGATCTGAATGTGGTGACAGGTCTTCTTCCTCTGGAGGTGAAGGCAACTGTTCACACTGTGAAAACATTTGACATCTATTATATAAATATTTTTATGACTCATCATTCATGTCTTGTTAAGGCAACTGTTCACACTGTGAAAACATTTGACATCTATTATATAAATATTTTTATGACTCATCATTCATGTCTTGTTAATGCCAAAGTCATTAAATTTTTGATCAAATTCAGTACATGCTTGTATTAGACTTTTGTGTGTATCCGATACCTTTGCATCAATTTCACGACAAAAAGAAACATTGAGTTACAAATCACTGCCCATTTCCTGGAATTTTAAGAGATTCTGGATCACCTCTCCTCATACAACACTGTATCTATTACTTATCATGTCCAACTGCAATAAAACAAACTGGTTAGATTATATTACATCAAATCTCCAAATGCCCCATCCTCATGCACTGATCTGTGTCATAACTACTTCATCAAAACCTTAACAGAATCAATACAACCTTAACTTTACCTATTCACTTCTCCTTTGCTTGTTGTACAATGAGGATTAATAGCTACCTGTTCAAACATCTAAAACATACACACCAGAAAACATCACAACCCTTCTGAATTCAGACAGAAAATGATCCCTATCCCTGCACCAGTACATTATCACAACTCTTCTAAATTTTGAACTATGTGGATCTACCTTGCCCAAACTTCCTATAACTCTACAAAAACCTTTGAAATATGATTACATAACTTATCCACCTACCACTCATGCTGTCATATTATTTATTATTAGTTTTGTAAGATTATTCCTACCTTCATACTAAGTAAGACACAGATATTTTTTAGTCCTTTTCACACAACCTTATACCATGGACTAAATCAGTATTCAAAACTTGATCTGAAGATGTGTCATTACATTATAGAAAAAAATCTTCATAATTGATAAAAATCATCTGCATCATAGATGAAATAATCTACATTTTTGATACTGCACCATCTCATCTTAAAATGACATGTACCTCATCTGCCTGGACGGCCACTTCTGTCTCATTTTGTACCACTTCTGACAATTCCTGATGACAAAGAAATAATGGCAGTGTATTTAAATTAATTATGCCCCAATGTCCAGAGTTGACTTTTCTCTACACTCTACAGCAATGATCCTGTGTACCTTGGTCAATTAATAATACCTTAACAGGTTTTAAATATTTCAAAAAGGATTAATGTACCTCATCTGAGTGTGTAGATAGTTCTTCTTCCTCTGGGGGTTGTGGCACGTCCTCACACTAAGAAAAAGCATTCTCATAATTCAGTGTAATAATAATCCAGCACCTTGTCAAAGGTTAACTAAGTGCCCCAGTGACTAGTTTCTTAATAACCATAAGATTCTCTAAATTCCACTGATCAATTTTTGGAATTATCAATCAGCATTCTTTGTCCCATGTACCTTCAAAAGTGAGTTCTACATCACATTTAAATATACCACATATCTCCATGCATAATATCTCCATAAAATAACATTTGATTTTCTTTAATTTAAAAAAAAAATATGGTGACTATCCAAACAGTTAGATTTTTGATTTTTAATGGACACCAACTCTCTTATTTACTAATACCATTCTAGCATCAAAACTAGAGGCTTTACCTAGCCTTGACTAGACAATCTAACTCCCTCACACTGTAAGTAAACCATCTATTTAAGATTTGTTAGGCATGCTTGCAAAAATGACAAAATAAATATTTATGACTTGCTATCCCATCTCCACTTCTAAAATGACTCCCTATTCATGTGACTACAATAAATTTTGGTATTGCCATCCCCCATTCCAAATGTAAACTTCATCAACAATAATTAACATATGACACCTTCTGTCTCCCATGCTTTCTTCTTTGTTTTACAAGTTCCACTCTATTTAGTGTAACACTGTGCTCCCAAATACCTCATCTGCCTGAAAAGGCCCCTCTGTCTTGTCTGATTGTTATTTTTCCACTGCCCCCCGAGTAGGAATAATGGACTATTTGGCTAATTCTACACCTCACAACTAGGTTTTGGGTGGTACCTGTTCTGATGTGTCAGCTATAACCTCAGGTTCCACTTCTAGTATTTCTTCTGCCATCTCTTCTTGCTTGAAACATATCAAAGGTGGGGTCAATCTTCTCTACCACATTTATACCCTACATGACCTGTATTGCCTATGCTATGGGATACTATTAATATCAGAAGTTGTCAAAACTTTTCCTGGTATAACAAGTTTAAAGTGGCACACCCTTTTAAGAAACTAGTTTTGTAAATTCTTTTTAAGTCCAAAAATGGACTATTTGACTAGTTCTACACCTCACAACTTGGCTTTGGGTGGTACCTGTTCTGATGTGTCAGCTATAACCTCAGGTTCCACTTCTAGTATTTCTTCTGCCATCTCTTCTTGCTTGAAACATATCAAAGGTGGGGGTCAATCTCCTCTACCACATTTATTATACCCTACATGACCTGTATTGCCTATGCTCTGGGATACTATTAATATCAGAAGTTATCAAAACTATTTCCAGTATAACTAGTTTAAAGTTGCACACCCTTTCAAGAAACTAGTTTCCTAAATTCTTTTAAGTCCAAAAATACATAAATCTACAGTAATAACCCTAACACTATTGAAACACAGTCCTGTGTACCTGTTCTAAGTGAACTGGGGGTTCATATTCTGCCTCTATAGTCTCTGTGGCTTCCTCTTGCTGGAAACAAATTTGAGGATGGAAAAAAACTGGCTGACCATAAATATCAACTTTTACTCTACAGTTTAACAAGAATGATCAGAATACTCTTTTTTCCCCTGTATGTTGCTTTTAAGAAAGGCAGTCTCCAAGAATGTAACATCACTAACATCAATCCACTTACTTCCCTCGTCAGATAAAATACACCTATCTGTTGGATATATGTGTACATTTAACATATCAAATATTTATGTAAATACTTTTTTCTGTCTAGACACAAGAATCAACCATGCACTTTTTCAGAAAAAAAAACCCAGTGGTAAATTGTTTTGTAAGTTGTAAAGTGTAAATCAGATGACATGTCCTCTACCTGGTCAGACTGACCGACTTCCTCCTCCAGCGGTGGGGGTGGGGGCGGCGGTGGCAGGTCCTCTTCTTCCTGCTTAAACCAACATGCAAGAAATGGTTCAAACTCTTTAATCACACATAGGCTAAAATGCTGCTGCGCTGTTGATAATACTCATGATCCTCTTTTTTGATTCAAATATACAACCTTAAAGATATAAATTTTAACTGTTTAATCTGGCAGTAAAGACTATTCTTGACATTTCAGTGTATAATAATAAAAGAAAAACTTAATAGAAAAATTTTCAACAATGAAATTAGTGTAATTACATGATATTTTAGTTACTCCCACATGATGTATAATCCAAGCCCAGTTGTTAAATTTGTGATTAAGGTGAAGGCAATTTTGAATTTATGTTTTAAAACGCCTCCAAACACTATCAGTAGGTATATATTTCATACATATAATGTTAGTAGGTAATTACACCATCTGACTGCCCACTAATACAACAACGACAGCAACAACAACAACAACAGTCCTGCAATTATGGCTTGTTATTCTTAACTCATCCAGATTTTTCTTTTTTTTAACCAAAACCTACCACACTAATGACTAACATGTCATCCAAATATGCTATACCACTAGACATATACACACACAGTAAGCAAGTGACCAACTGACCTGTCATGATATTTAAAATACAATCAACTGACATTGGCAACCAGAGGTAACCCACTTCTTATTTGTTATATTAACTGATTCTAAGTAAAATAAAAACACATACATGCCTGCCCTGAAGACAAAACTTGAATGCTGCATGAGATTATATTAGAACCTAAAACCTGTTGAATATATCTATATATATATATATCAACCAAGCTTAGTCTTATTAGTAAAATTTACAAGCATTAGGCGTCCATATTTGATCAGATCCATTACTTGCAGAGATCACATATAAGAGCAAGTACCTGGTTGTGATCAGAATGAACAGAAGGTTCCTTATCAGAATGGACTGATGGCTCTTTGTCAGAGATTGAGGGTTCCCTATCAGAATGTACTGAAGGCTCTTTATCAGATCCAGCAGACTCTGGAGCACTCACTTCATGCTGAAAGGCAACCACACAAATTGATTCTTCAGAGTCTGATTTATTGATAGGATATGAGAAAATGATGCTGCAGGTCTCTGAGGGTTCTACACAATTGATCTAGTTACAACAGCCATCCATTCGCCATTAGACGCAATTAACATTTGATCTCTGTACATCAGATGAAGATGAACGCAAATACCAGGAAGTGCTGCGAGGAAGAATGACACTTGATACAAAGTATTTTCATTGTCATTAGACAATGAAGAAATTATGTTTAGTACTTGTAAAGAGAAATTTGAACAGAATTTCACAAAACAGCACTGCACTAATATAAATAAATAAATAAAAGATTTAAAAAGCAGTGGCTATCTAAGAATTTATATATATAAACAGATAAAAAACTATTATTATATCTGGTACAGCACACAAATACCTGTTCAGACTGAATTGAAGGCTCCTTCTCAGATGTACTGGCTTCAGAACGCAGACTATGCTGTAAAAGAGATCACTATAGTGCATTACCCAAACACCAGCTAATCCCTTATCCATGTTGATTAAGTAAATTCTATTTTCAAACTGGAATATGTTTAAGGTTGTACCAGACATACACTTTGAGAATAATGCCATTACCATTATCAGGACATCACTGTCAAAATCAGCAGTTTAAGACAGACAGAAATGTTAGCCTCACCAAGGGATCAAACAACACCACAGTATACACGACTCTTTAACATATATCACTCTATTACGTGGTTTTGCATTACCACTATTGCAGTAGAGCAACCTTAGTCCCACAACACACATGTGATCAGATGTAATATTCCCTGCTAAAGCATTCTCACCAAATATAAACCTATACCCACAATAACAGGACTTAGTAAACCTGGTAGACAAAACAATGTGTCTTAGGTACAACTAGTCTCAACTCTGTATTAGTACTCTGTCCTTGTCAGCCACACTGGGAAACAGCCTTGAAGTCATATAAATAGTAAGGAGCCAAACACAGAGTCACACCAACATTGACACTACCCAAATCTATAGTACTGGAGAACATCCCAATGGCCCTTCCTATCATGTTATATAATTATATATCCACACTTTTATATGCTGCTGCCATTTCTATTGGTTAGTGATAACCATTAGCATGTTATATGTGTTATTCAGCTGTACAATACTTCAGATGGGATCCAATGCAGTTAAACACAAACTATCTCAAAATAGAAAGAAGGAAAAAAAAGAAACAAATTACATCCAGTTTGTAGGACTTTGAACAGTTAGTCACCGATCAAAGTCTAACAAGAATGAAAATACTTAAAAATCAAATTTACTGAGAATTCATGCTGCCAAGAAGACAGGGTTTCGCTGTTAATACAACTACTTCTAATACACATTTTTTTCTACCAGAAATACAATAGACATACTGTTCATGACTTTGAGTATAGTCATTTTTTTACCTGCTCACTACCAGTGTGAGTTGAAGCCGAGGAGGATGTATCTGTATGATGATGTGGCTCAGACTGAAATACAGTTCATTTATCTGAAGTCAGTCTTTCCACAAACATTTGTCAAGCAATGTTACCAACAGAAGTTAATAGAGATTGCAATGTTAGTCAGCCATTTTCTATTCCACCATTCCTACTATCAGATTCCTTTATTTATCTTATCGCTCACTAACATCACTGACCCCAATAAAACTTTTTTTTTTCACCTGGAAAAAAATTATTAACAAAAGGTATTTTTGCCTTGAAATGCTTACCCTGCTGTTTGCCTAAAAATGATGAAAATTTTGACTTCCAAGCATCACATGTTAATTCTAAATACATGAAGACTTATGTCATGTCCACTTTGTTGATTAGTTTGCATTACCATATTGACAAGGTGGAATAGTTATTATAGCAGACTCATACGCAAATTATATCTTGGCTACACTTTCATATAATTACTCTCTTGGACGTCACATACAGTGGATAACTCTTGTTGTAATTTCAAAGGTGCCCACACAAGTTGGGGAAATTGCTCAAATTAAATAAGATTATATAATTCCTCGTGGAAATTTCATGACAGAGCATACCAAAAGGTGTATTTGAGTGCCAAAATCTTTAAATAATTTCACCTGTCAGGCAGGTGTGAAATGATTAGAGATGAATGTTAATAAAAATAGATGGACTCATTTACCAACCAAGTCCTAGTATATACACACGCAATACTCCCTCCGTTCCCTTATTACATAAACCTAAATCCTACATGAAAGGGAATTTTCCTCTCTCTTGAATTACTTCATGGAAATGATAATGCTACTCAGCTGGGTAGGGAAGAAGACAGAAAGGTTAATTAAAACATGTCTGTAAATTGCCCATGAAGACTGAATACAAATCACATTACAGTATCAATTGCGAGGAAAGCTGTTTTATGACACCCAATCAATCATTGCAGCCATGGCTAATATAATCTATAACATGCTAGAAGGAACACACACTGTGCAAAGTTCAATATTCAATTTTTTTTTGTGTGTGTAGAGAAAGAGAGTCTCTACCTCAATCTGCTACAGACAATGTATTTGCAAGTAATGGATATTAATCATATTATGGTAAAAAATAAAACGTATATGATAAATAAGAAATTAATGGAATTAATCATCTTCTTTTTCTGTTAAACTCTTCCTCCAGATGATTACTTATCTCTATCTCCATCAGAAGTATCTCAATATTTCTAACATTATTAGAGAGCTAATTTTTACTGTCTATTCTTTTCAAACAAAAAATATTTAGGGCCAAGAAAACATGTATTATCACATTGAAGTATTCTAATCAAACACGACTGCTTTAAGAATAATTCAAGACTTGCTCAAGCCTCTCATTTCATGTTTCAGTTTTGTAATACACTTCCCTTTTTTAATTCAGAGAAGTGGTCTTTCTAACAATCTTGCATTAGTTTTTTTTTCCAATTTTGCCCACAGTGGGCACTACAGTTACAATATACCATTTCTGCCCAGCATTAAAGCTTTCCGACTCAAATTATTGCACTGCCTGATACTTAAACATATTTCATAATGTGCTCTACAACAAGCAGTCAGGGTCAGTAAGTAACGTAATCTATAAGCAAATCACATTGTAGAAAGCTGTGATTAGAGCAACCAGGTTGATGATGTAACACATAATGTGTTCAGAATATTTTTCTGTGTTAAGTTAAATAACAATTCTTCTGTGTTAAGTTAAACGAACAAAGCAAAGATCACATACATCACTGAAAAGCAAGTTCCATAGAAGTATTCACAAAAGGATTCATTAATCCGATGTTGGACAATCTTATCACTAACATAAAATGACAAAATGTCACCCGTTTCATTAAAATCTATTTCCACACCTCACCCCTGGGAGGGAGGAAAATTGTCATATAATATCTGTTCTTAGTGGCTAGGACGTCTAATAAATCTAATAATCTTTCCCTTAGAATTCTCACCTCTCCTGTCTCATTCTCAACCTCCAAGTGGTCCTCCTGCACAGCTGATCCATTCTGGACAGGCTACAATTACATAAACAATGTATCATTATCCTAAGCAATCTAGGATAATCAATGTGATGTCAACCCAAACCTCTCCACCCATGCTGTTAAATCAAGGATAACTTTATGTAAGTGACTCTGAACCATAGCACATTCCAAGATTACTGGCAAAGCCACAGGCTGGTATACCTGATATGGTATAATATCATATCATATCATTCTTTCCACCTCCTATCAACCAATATAGTATTTTCACAATCTCATTTACCTTTTTAGCTTTTTGCCTTTGTTGATTAGTTAACAGCCTAACTCAAAAAGTTACGGACAGATTTTGATAAAAATTTTCAGGATAGGTAAGAAATGGACTAACAGAGAATTCATAAGAATTTGGTGGTGATCTATTACTAAATAAATCAATAGTCAGAAT